TGGACAATGTGGATCTGGAGTCCACCACGAGGAAGGGCATCCTGGTCATGAACACTCCCAATGGGAACAGACTTAGTGCTGCCGAGCTCACCTGTGGGATGATCATGTGTCTGGTCAGGCAGATTCCCCAGGCTATGGCTTCAATGAAGGATAGCAAATGGGAGGAGCTTTTGACTCTGGCATAGAAACCAACCAATCAGAATCAAATTGGCTGGCAGAGAAGGGCAGTTGGGGGCAACTATGCTGTCAGGGGAGGGCAGTTAGGGGCAATCAGAAGGCAGACACAGGCAGTTAGGGGCAATCAGGCAGGCAGGAAGGTGAGCGGTTAGGAGCCAGTTGTCCCAGATTGTGAGAGGGATGTCTGACTGCCAGTTTAGGCCCGATCTTATAGGTACATCCCCCAAGGGATCCCTGATTAGAGAGGGTGCAAGCTGGGCTGAGAGAACCCCCATCCCATGCACAAATTTTGTGCCCCAGGCCACTAGTTTTTTTTAAAATAAAAAGCTCCAGTTCTTTAAAAGATACTAAGAAAAAAGAAAATGCAAACTACAGACCAGGAGAAAGTATTTGCAAAATATGTCTGATAAATGATTTTTATCCACAATATATTAAAAATAACTCTTGCAACTCAGTAATAAGAACACAACAACTGATTTTTTTAAAAATGGACAAAAGATGTGAATAAACAGTTCACCAAAGAAAATATACAAATGGCCAAAAAGCATGAAACAATGGCCAATGCCATTAATCACTAAAGAAAACCAAATTTAAAAAACAAGTTATGTACTAGAATAACTAAAGTTTCCAAACTAAACATAGGAAAATATCATGTGTTGACAAAGATGTGAAGCAACTCTCAAATTGTTGATGGCACTGCAAATGGCCCCACTATTTTGTAAAACAATTTGGCAGTTTCTGATAAAGTTAAACATCCTTATTCTAATGACACACTTTTACTCAGTTATATTGCTGGGTATTTATCCAAGAGATGAAAATGTAGTCCATATAAAAACTGTATTCAAATATTTATAGAAGCTTTATTTATACGGCCAATAATTGAAAACAACATAAATGCCCATCAACTGGTGAATAGATGAACAAATTATGGCATATCAGTGAAATTGTGTACTACTCAGTAATAATATGTACACATAACAACTTGAATGGATTTCAGAAATATTGTGTATATGAAAGTGGATGCCAGCAGCTGGAGTTAGAGGGAGGGAAATAACTATAAAAGGGGCACAGGCTTATTTGGGGGGAGGGTGATGGAAATTATTAATATTTTGTGGTGATGGTTACGTGATTACTTATATTTACCAAAAAATATCGATCTAGCAGTAACCGGTTTGGCTCAGTGGATAGAGCTTCTGCCTGTATACTGAAGTGTCCCAGATTCGATTCTAGTCAAGGGCATGCATGTACCTTGGTTGTAGGTACATCCCCAGTAGTGGGTGTTCAGGAGGCAGCTGGTTGAAGTTTCTCTCGCATCCATGTTTCTCACTCTCTATCCCTCTCCCTTCCTCTCTGTAAAAAATAAAAAAATATATATATTTTTAAAAATTATAGAACTGTTACTCAGCCAGTGTGTCTTTCCATGCACCAGGAAATCATAGGTTCTATTGCCAGTCAGGGCACATGCCCAGGTTGCAGGTTCAGTTCCTGGTCAGGGTTCATATGCGAGATATTTCTCTCTCACTCTCTCTTCCTTTCTCTCTAAAATCAATAGAAACATATTTTTTAATAAAGCTGTATGTATTCCTGTTTTGTTTATGCACTGTTAGAGAGAGCATAGCATACAAAACTGATATTAGCAGTTGTCTTTAGCATAGGAAAGGCTTAACCTTTTAATGTATATCTATTTGTTTTGCTTGACTATTTTTTTTAACCAGGTGCATATATTACCTTCTCAATTAAAGGAACAAGTTTTATTTTGCACACACATTAAATGTATTATCAGGAAATGTAGCAATACATAGATGATTGCACTTCTATTTCCTCCATATGGTTCCTCTAGTTTTTGTCAGCACAATAGTGGGTCTTGAGACTGACCCGGTGTGACGGTCCTAGGGCTACCTGCCTCTGTAAACACTGTTTTCAGTCTGTGTCTCTTGTTTTTCCAAATCATGTGGGAGTAGGTCAAGGAAGAAATCCACTCATTTTGCTTTGCCCACATGATGCCTTTTTTGTCCGTTGCACTGCTTCTCTGGCTTAGGGCAGTTTTACTAAGCTCTGTAATTGTCAAGAGACATGGTGGGGAGACAAGTCCTGAGTTCTGAAGAAAATTTTGCATCTTATCTCTACCAGGAAGCTTCTGTGAGTGAGTGGAGCATTGGAGGAAGGTGTGGAAATTGGTGGCGCTTTCTGAAAATGAGCTAGCTTGGGAGGCTGTCTTCAATTTAGTTGGGATATTAAATGAATTAAAATGGATGTGCTCAAGTTATGAGCCTTGCCTCATCAGTGCTATAAAAAGCCCTTTAGCCGGGCTGTAATGTGACTCTTCTCTCTGTAATGTTACACAATATTCCTTTGGTTACAGAGCCTGAAGAAGTGGAAGCTAATCATTAGTTTGCTAAATGTGGTTCATGGAACAGTTCACAGCTCCCAGACCTGCCAACTGCTGCTTGCTTAGTGTCATGTTCACTCTTCTAGGGTAGAAGTCGGCTTGTTCCTCAGAAAAATGTACAGTAACATTTGTCTCACATCCAGAACCCACGCAGTGTGGCAGCTCTCCATGTGTCTTGGTCACGGGGAGGGTAAAAGGTCATGCTAAGCAAAGTGTTTTGGTATATACACTTACGTAGGAAGAAACCATGAAAGGAATGTGAGATGACAGAGCAAGGAAAGAATTAAAGCTGCAGAGGTTTTAGATACTTGGAGAAAAGTGAACATGTTGGCTGTAGTAGAACTCTACGGAGTACCCGTTGTGTAGGGCCTAGAAATGAAATCATACCCTTTGGGTTCTTCCTTCCTTGTGACAGGATAGACTTCATTATTGCCCGGTCACCTGCAAGCACATAGATGTGCTGCCATTAGGAGCCATACGGCTGGATTTGTGCTTTCACCTGAGGATTAGCCTGAATCCGTAAGCCACTCCTGACTGTTTGGCCTCCTCCTACTAGGACGAAGGCAGGTTCTTTCCCAGTGCCCACTTACGACTCATTCCCCTTTCTAGCTGGAAGCCTCTTTGGCCCTTTCTTCTTAGAGACTATCCAGAAAGAGACAATCCAGGGGCTGTCTCTATTTGCCTACTGTGTCGTTTAGGTCTCTTTGGACTATAAAGCAAAACAAAACAAAAACAGAACACCTGACCTCAACTGGCTTCAGGAAACAAAGCATTTATTGGCTCCAATGATTAAAAAGCATGGTGAGATAACAAGGGCTCAAACCATGTCATTCACTTTTTCTGCTTCTCTCATCACTGGTTTTGTCATTTCTACTCACTCTCAAGCTCCAAGTATTGGTATTTTGAGCAATTACAAATTCTTCCAGGTGCAAGCCCAGCAGGAAATATAGCAGATATCCTTTCTGCTAGCTCCTAAAAAAACCTGACATTCACTCTCACTCAACTGACTTGGGTCTTGGGCCATCCCTGAACCAGTCCTGGGGTCCTTACAGATGCTACACTTGATTGGTCTGTTCTGAATCTCAGTCCCCACCCCAGGAAGGGTGGAGCCTCACCTGAGCAGGTGGGGTAGTTGTGAGAAAAGGGTAGCATTCCAACTGAAAGCGGTGCTGTGCAGAAAGGAAAAGGAATGGGAGCTGCAGGCAGATCTCTAGGCTTTAGTATGAGGAAGCTGGATCCTCCTTATGATGCATTGAAAATCTCCACTTCAACCACCTGGGCAGCGGGAAGATGGGGTTTCTGGTTTGTGGAACAGGTCATATTTCCCAACCTCTGCTTCTTCTTATCACCTGCCTGTATGCAGCTCAGGAAGACTACATGAATTTTTTAAAATTTTTTATTATTATTTTTTAATCAGAGAGGAAGGAAGAGGGAGAGAGATAGAAACATCAATGATGAGAATCATTGATTGGCTCTCTCCTGCATGACCCCCACTGGGGATTGAGCCTGCAATCTGGGCATGTGCCCTTGACCACAATTGAACCCAGGACCTTTCAGTCCTCAGGCCAATGTTCTATCCACTGAGCCAAACTGGCTAGGGCAAGAATTATCTTTTTAAAAATAGTACATACTTATTTAAAATACACCCATTTGTTTAAAAGTCCATGCAAAAGGACAAAATACATGTTCAGGAACCGATACAATTATGGTTGCTCTCATTGCATTTCTTGAGGCAAACTTTTAAAAAATATATAAAAGTACTGTAATCAAGACATAGTTTAGAAAAAATAAAAATCATAATTCTACCACTCAGGCCAACCACTATTTTAATTTCAGAGCATTTCCATTCAGCTTTTGTTCATATGAACTTTTCGCAAACTTTTAAATTGTGATATTTTTGCTACATATTTTTTTATTGCCTGGTAATCCAATCATTTTTCATATTCCTTGGTAGCCATCATTATTATGCAAAAGCAACATAATATTTCATTAAGTAGATCTATAATTGACTTAATAATTTTTCTATTATTGGACATTTAGATGTGTTAACCATTTTGAGGGTATTCTGTAACTTTTCTCACGCCTTATCTTATTTTCTAAGAATAGATTGTGTGAAGTGGGATTACCACTTCAATCAATACCAGCTTTTTAAAAAAATAATTCTTGCTAACTATTGCCAAATTAATTTTCAAATGCTGCATTAATTTCTGCTGCCTTCAGCAGGTTATGAGAGGACCAGTTTCACGGCATTCTTGCCTGCAATAGACATTTGGATTTTTAAACATTTTCCTAACTTAATTGGCAAAAAAGTATATGTCATTTTGTTTTAACTTGGATTTCTTTGGTTAGTACTGAGGCCGAATGTCTTTATGTGTGCCTGTTTCTTAGTCGTATTTTCTGCTCTGCTTTACACGTTGTCTTTTCTTTGTTTTAGACCCCAAAACAGCTTCTGAAACAGAAACGGATATCTGTGCGGAATGGGAGATCAAGACCATCACTAGTGCTTTGAAGACCTACCTAAGGTAGGGACTTTCCATTTGCAGGGCAGGGTGCCAGCTTGTTATCAGGCCTTCAGGAAGAAAGCAGTTTTATTTTCAGCCTCCGGAGAGCTGTTGGGTGGGTGTTTGAGATGTGAAAACAGTTTAGGTGTGCGTGCAGTCAGTTCAGCTGGTCACTCCGATTGTAAATCATCCATAGTTGATGGGTTGCCATTGTGCAATGGTACCACGAGTGATTTAGGAAGCTTTGTTTTTTTTTAATGAAAAACTACTATGACAATTAGCCTTTAAGAACCTAAAATACGATATTTCCTGAAATCCCTGAAGACTCTATCAAGAACACAAGGAGTCCCATCCTATTCTGTTGCGAATGCATGATTACATGCCCTCTGTATTTTGATAGATTTGTGCATTGCGGATTGAATAAGTTGCTGACATCAATCTTTAAAAATGAGAACTTAATGGTACTCCTTTTTAACTCCTTCAGCTAGTATTGGAAGATATCACTGTATTGGGGAAGAGACTATTTTCCTGTAATATGTGTGGTGTTATTGCTACCTTCCTATGCCTCCCTCACTTATTAAGGGAGTGGGTGACTGACTAGTTGCCCAAATCTCAGCTTCAGGACTAGATTGAAATTTATGCTGCTCTTGAAGGGTAGGCATATTCTAGTTAATCACTGTAATACTTACAAAGAAAGGTGGGGGGAGGGGCGGGGGAGGTGCCCTTGTCTCAAAAGCAAAAGAGGATAGGAACTGGTATTTTTGGCTATTGAGGAATGGACAGGATGATCCTGATGTCAAGAATGAAATATAATGCAAGTGATGACTAATAGTTGAATTAGGAGATGCAATGAGAATAAAATAAAATCTGAGCCAAGAATAATGTATAGTCTGTTGAGAAGCTTGTTATTTGGACCATTAGAAAAAACTTCAAGTTTACAGTTTAACATAGTCATTAAATATTCATACCCTCAATACTGCCATTGTAGTTTATACAAAACCATTGTGTAGAGGTTTGCATTTAGCACTTCTTTTTACATGTGGATAGTGATTTATTAATGGACAGTAAGCATAAAACATATTTTCAAAAAATAGGTAAAATTTTGATTGTTTCATACCTCATGTTAGGGGTTCTATCTCTTTGGCATTCTCTAGCAGAACTCCACAGTGAATTTGCCACAAAAATACCTACAAAGTCCCTCATAGTATTTACAGATGAGCTGATTCTAATAACAAGGTGCTGGGGAGATGAGGGTTTAAGTACAGGTTTTTGCAAACGTTTAGCCAGTTGCCTGTTTCTCAAGCATGTTTTAAAATGCTTTTGTTGATGGGTGAGTCACTGACTGAAAAGGAAATCTCTTGGTTTGTGCTAGGATTTTGCACCAGTACTTTTCTAGTTGTGTCTATGAGACAGTTGTATCCTTTCTATAAAAAGGAAAGAGAATGAAAATTTCAGGTAAAATCTCAGGACCTTTTAGAAGGGAAACTAAATTAGACTCAAATAAGTTGCTGTTGCTTCCCCATAATCTTTGTCTTTGAGAACAGTTTGGCAGTGTTCTGGCTGCTATTTAGAGAGAACAATTTGATTGTTTTGATTGAACTAACTAATATATAACCTTTTATTCCAGAATGCTTCCAGGGCCACTCATGATGTACCAGTTTCAAAGAAGTTTCATCAAAGCAGCAAGTAAGTTTTCTTTTTGTCAGTTTTAAGGGGAAGAGAATATATTTTTCTACTTCAAAAACAGTCAGTATCTCAAAATAAATATTATCTAACTCTTTGTAGTCTGCATGTAAACTACCCACATACACGCTCATGAATTCGACACAGAAATAAAAATGAAACCAAATCGGGATTGCTAAGGGCCTTGATGCTATGCTGAATTTTCAGTAGAGGAGAGAAACTTCCAAAGTGTGTTTTTAGGGTTGGGGAAAGTTGAGAAAAGCAGGTTTGCCTTTCTAATTTTGATGATTGGAGTTCTGACTCTTTGGGTTTTTCCCAGCCCTTGAGAAGCATTTTGCAAAATGAATCATACTTTGCACCTTAACCTACTTTGAACGTTGGAAGTGTTTCCCTGAATGAGAGACACCATTGATATAACTCTCCAATCTGCTTTCTGTCATGGCTCCTATTGACAGCTTCTTCAGCCATATCATCCAGGTTCCTGGCATCATACTACTAGTATTAAAATACATAGGGATTAGATGCAAGCTACCGTAGGTACACTGGAATCTCTCTATGTGAGGCAGGCCTCCATAGGGGCAGGAAGATTCTCTGTCAGATTTAAATCTGGCATGAAACCCCACAATGCTATTACAACAATACCCCCTGTCTCTCCCTGCTTCCTTTAAACTGTCACTGTTTGTTACCATAGTAGCTACTACTGGCCTAATTTATTGGTAGTAGCATCTAATGTTTTGATGGCCTTATCTAGTCATACTTTCCCCCCCTCAAACAAGAAGGCAGGGGAGAAAGCTAGAAGTAAAGATAGTGTTTATGTGATTTCTTTGTCAGAGAAGTTCCAAACCCACAGAATCTGTTCTTTAATTAAACCTCCCAGGGAAGTGGTACCCCTTATTCAAGTTCAACCAAGAGAACTCAGAGGGCCATGATTTAGGTTACAGGTTGGCAGGAAGATTCACATATTGATGTGCCATTTCTTTCTTCTGTACCAGGCTGGCTGTCACACATGGTGTGGGGATAACTGGATATTAATATTTCCTTTGATTTCTCTGATGCTACATTGAGGTGTTATTTTGATATTTGAGACATTTGCAATATTGTTCATGATTTGTTTACCACTTGCCAAGTGCATAAAGTTCCTTCTTTCTTTGAAATGAAGCTGACACTCTAAGAAGTCAGCTGCTCCCCAGTTTGTTCCTGCTCAGAGTGTTCAGCTGACTGGCTCCATTTCATCACGTCATCATTTTGGCTTGATTTTTCTGATGGCCATTTTTTAAATGAACTCTGTTACAGAAAACACCATTAAAAATACGTATAGATATAGTCATTCTAGCCATGAGGGCACAGAACAGAATCTTAATCTTTTAAGAAATCCTCAGTCTGTCAGTACCCAACCTTTGTCTTCCTTTGATTTTTGTCTTGTAAACTGATTTAGTTGTGACACTGATCAAATGTTTCCTCCCTTCCTACTTTTGTAGAGCTGGAGAATCAGGAGTCTCGGGTGTCTGAAATCCACAGCCTTGTTCATCGGCTCCCAGAGAAAAACCGCCAGATGTTACAGCTGCTAATGAACCACTTGGCAAAGTAGGTTTGAGGCTGATTGTTGGCTCTTTTCTCACCTCTAGAAAGTTCTTATCTTAGCCCTAAAACTGGTCTCAGTTCTGCTTATGTTTGCCTCTTCCACTATTGCATCAGGTATGCTAGAGGCTTAGGAAAGAAATGTGTGAAATGTTAACTGCAGTGGATAACAACAGCAAGTGCCAGATGGTCTTTGCAAAAGTAGACTGGGGCAGGGCCCCATGCAACCTGACCTCCATACAGAGTTTTCAGGGGGTTTTAACTCTTGTGATGGCTAAGGGCATCTTCCGTGATAAGCTCACCAAGCAGAGTTTTCAGGAGTTACATGTTCTTTGACTATCAAGGATGAACAGGAATATGTTATGGGTTTATAGACCTTGGGTTTGAAGTAAAGAGGCCTGGAAGGTAGAGTTGATTCTGTTTTTAACAAGCTACTAACCAGTCCTGGACCTACCAGTGACCTCTCTATTCCTAATTTCTTCATCTGTCAAATATAGCTGGTAGGTTCCCTTTTATCTACAATGTTATTGATTTTTAAAATTACATGTATTAAAGTCTTGGAAGAAGTACAGATAATAAAGGACTTATCTTTGGCAAATGCCCATTTGCCCTCTGAGATAATCAAAGAATTCCATAGAGGCTTGGTTTTCCTGGTAGGAATATTTTTACTCTTGGAATGGTTATTTTGTGTTTACTGTTATTTGACTTTTCAGAATGGCCTTACTGCCTTCCCTTGTTGTTGTTTTTTTTTTTTTTTTAAATCTTTTTTGTTCATATGATTTCAGATGTTCCTCTTCCCCCCTCTCCCATCCGTTGCTCCCCTCCATCAGGTTCCCTGCCTTCCCTTGTTGTGTTGGTTATTGCACATGTATATGTTCTAACCATCCATTGACTTTGATAATGTTCTTGATAGGAGATTGGAGCATAAGAAAAGACAGAGTCTAACAGTTAAGCTAAATTGTTAAATCCTACATTCTACTGAACTGAGTGTTGTAAATTGGGCCCTTCCCTACTCTTGTTCATGCCATTAAGTCATTTTTAGGGAAGAGGGTGTAAGTTGATACTTTGCTGGGGGAGATTATGATGATCTGTTTTCATATTTATACCTACCAGTTGATATTACCTTTTGGAGAGAGAGTATGTTACCAAAAGATTTCTACAGGTCTAAGTATGAAGAAACAAGAGTGAGAAGTTACTGGGCAATCAAGGGTTGCTCTATTACTGGTCAAATGTTTTTCTTGCCATGCAATCTGAACTGCATTGCAATATTGTGGTTTATAAGAAATATATATTTGGCCATTAATACAACCAGAATATATTTCTGATAGTAATATATTTAGTCTCAATGCACAACTCCTGGCTCACAGCTTTCTGAAGCCTTGGGATTTCCTTAAGTGTTGACAGTGGGGGGGGGGGGGGGAAAGAATGTGTCTTTTGTTATGTTAATGAGTTGCCTTTTGGAAAGCAATTGAGGATGGGGGTTGGTTGCTAATAGAACTAAGCTTGTGAGTGGAGGGATGGGACTTCCAGCCCTGTACCCCTCACCCCACCCATGACCTATGGGAAGGGGAGAGAGACTGAAAGTAGAATCAATTGCCATTGGCCAATGTCCTGACTGTGAAGAGAAGACTAAAATACCAAGAGGATTGGATTCGGAGAACTTGCAGGTTGTGAGCTTGTGGTGATGCTGGGAGAGTGGCGCCCTAGGGAGGGCATGGAAACTCTGCACTCCTTCCCCCTTATACCTTGCTGCATGCATCTCTTCCATCTGCTGCTCCTGAGTTACACCCTTTTAAAATAAACCAGTGATCCAGTAACATGTATCTCCGGGTTCTGTGAGCTTTTCTAGCAAAATAATAGAACCCAAGGAGGCTGTTATGGGAACTTCTGATATATGTATGTGAGTTAAAAGTAGAGGTGAAAACTTGGATTTGGGATTGGCATTCTGAGTTGAAGGGGGTCGTTGGAACCTCCAATCAGTGCCTGGTCATTCAAAAGCACAGGTAAACTGGGTTTGTGTCCTGGTGTTATGTCCAGCATCTGAATGCATGTGTGCATGTGTGCGTGTGTGCGTATGTGTATTGGGGTGAGGGGCAAGTCTTATGGAATCTGATGCTATCTGCATATAAACAGTGTCAGAATTGAGTTGAATTCTTGAGTACCTTGCTGGCGGGGTGGGTCTGGGAACCCAATTTATCCATGTTCAGAAACAAAGCAAAGCAGAGAACATGCAAGTTTGCAAGAAGAATGCCCCCAAAATGTCAAAGAAAATAATGGGAGCTGGGCTTTAACAAGTAACATCAGATGCTCTGAGATGCCTGTTCCATATAAGCTGTCAGGTATTTGTTAATGGAAAAGCCAGTTTAGATCTTAAGGCCTGCACCCAAACAGAGGAAGTTCCAGGTATATACTCAGTCAACCATGTGTAGGATGCTAGAATTAGCTGAAGATTAGGAACTAGCTGAAAGCAATGGGATTTCATCGGCTGTGCCGATGTGATGAGATCTTAATTACATTGAGAGACCAAGAGTAAGGGATGATCCAGCAGAGCCAGTACTGAATTACTCTCTGCTCTCCCAACACCATTCAATTCAGTCCATCTTTGTCCCTAATCCAGGAATCCTACACCTGAAATATGCAGGTTACCTCTGCGACCTTGACTTTTTACCTTCTAAGGAATTTTAAACCAATTTTGTTGTTAGCATTATTTTATAGCAATTCTGGAGCATTATTTGTTGTCTTTGATACTTAACAGAATTTCTCTGAGGTTCTTTCTATGAGGTTATATGGCATTGCTTTGTTAATTTAACCATTGACAAATTACCTGTAGGTGAGCTCTCCTGCCTATAACTTAAGTCTCTCAGTGCTGACCTTAGAACACACAGACGCAGATTCTTAGAGTGCTGTGTGCTTCGCCTCTGGAGCACCCAGGTTTGAAATGTCTTGGTGTATAATAAATGAGCACTGCTGTATCCAGTAAAGAGTGTGTATTTAGGTCTGAAAAGATTTTTTGGCACCCAGCCGAGTTCCAAATTCCACTTAAACTCTATAGCTCATTTACAGCACTGTCCTATTAAAATAAAGCGGTAAGGGAAAGTTAACTTGGGACAACGGGTAGGTTTGTCTATTTCATTCTAGTTTTCTCAGGTTCAGACTTACCCTAGGACATGGTCAGCAAACCCATTAGTCAACAGAGCCAAGTATCAACAGTACAACGATAGAAATTTCTTTTGAGAGCCAAATTTTTTAAACTTAAACTTCTTCTAACACCACTTCTTCAAAATAGACTCGCCCAGGCTGTGGTATTTTGTGGAAGAGCCACACTCAAGGGACCAAAGAGCCGCATGTGGCTCCTGAGCCGCAGTTTGTGGACCACGGCCCTAGGATATGCCTGAGCTATTGTTACGGTGGTCCACTTTCTTAATGTTTAGCTTCCTTCCTAAGTTTTTGGTTTCAGGGCTGTTTCTGCTGGAAAACCCAGTGTTTACTTCTTTCATTACCTACTGTGTTTGCCATGTGCATCAAAGGCTTTTGGTTTAAGGGGAATGTGTTTTGTATTGTATATTTTTTAAAGTGCTCTTCTGAAACATTTTCCAAAATTGGTTTCCTTTAGCTGTGAAGGGAGAGTTAAGACATTTTAGATTTAATTCCAAGTAGAAATGCATTCAGAGGGGGAAAAAGTCTTAAAGGGGGAGGAATAAAACTTTAAACTTCCAAGCAAATATGATTTCAGAGCATATCCAAATCACAGACCTCTTGGGTTTGTTTCAGACCTCAGAAAGAATGTTAAAAATCACAGGCAACTATGCACATATTTTTGTTTCTCTAGCTCAAATTTCCTGATAATTAGATATTTTCTGTTTGGGTTCTGGAATCTAGTATACAGTCCAGTGTCGCATGCCTCCAAGCATAGTTAGACTCACCTGGCCTGCTTCTTTGCATTAATGTTGCTGGGTCCCTCCTCTGGTCTGCTTAATTAGGCTCTGCCTGGGATCTGCATTGTTGGTTTATTTCCCAAGCCTTTAGAATGCAGTCTTTTGAGAACCACAAGCCTAAAGAATGGACTATATGCAGGAATGGGATTTTCTAGGAGAGAAAAATGCTATTGAGAGGAATGGATTGGGATTTAGGAGGTATTAGAACTAGGAAGAAGAAGCTCAAAGCAGTGAGTTCAAAAATATTTTCTTTTCATAATTAAACTCCTAAAAACACCCAGTTTTGATTTCCTATGTGTTTATAATCCGACTTTGCATTAAATTTGGTGTTTATCAAATGACTGTTTTAAAATCAAGCATAAAACATTTTTATTAATAAAGAAAATTCTCCCCAACTAGCGGCAAGACCTTGTGGAGATCATTCAACCTCATTGAGCCTCAGTTTCCTGAGTTCCCTTTTAATCATATGATTCTTCGTTTTCATCAAGTGGGGAGAGAAAATACTTACTGGTCCTATAATTGCAATAAGAGTAGATGAGTAATAAAGACTAATTTTATGGTAGTTCCCTGGTGTTTACATATCAGATGACTCCAAGTATGTTGTATATCCCCACACATACCGTTCACAGTGGCTTATCATAATTTTATTACAGTGTTTATGCTATGTGGGAGGATTTCAAAAGACTCCACATATCAGGGATGGCTATTAAAAATACCTTTTCACAGCTGGTTTCCCCCAAACACATATTGAGAAATAAATCTCAGTCTCTTTTCTATTTTGAAGCCGCTGTTCTTTTGTTGCTATGGTGTTGCTGGAGAAGCAGAGCCTTTTTTTGTTTGTTTGTTGTTTTGTTTTTGGCTTGTCCAAAGAGGCTTTGGGCTCTAAGAAAAAGAAAATCCACTTCAAAATAATGTAAACAATGAGGATATCTCTTGTCTTATTGCACAAAGGCAGTGTTGAGCTGGTTAATTTCTCTGTTCATGTAGTACTCAGGTTATTTGCATGGCCCTGCTTACAGCTAGCCCCCTTGTGTTGCTGTGTCTCCTCAGATGTTGCATTGCATTCTTCCA